ATATAATGTATATACATATTACATACATATAATGGCCTAACTTTAGATCTACAGAGTTTAAGTCTGACAGAACCAACAAGCTAATGGCTAGTCCAACTGCAGCTAAGGCCAAAGTGGATTGCTCAGGCTTAAAACAAATCCAGTCTACAAAATTGTATAGAAGCCAGTGCAAACACTAATCCATAAATTTACATCACATCACACAGTTATTTCCTTATTTGTGTYATTACTTGTCAGAGTAAACAACAGCAACAGCAGTTGGCTAAGACCTCTGTCAAAATAACAATCTAACGTGAAAGTGTCAGTGARGTAAAGGTTCAAATAATCAGAGTKAGAATCAGCTTTATTGTCATTCACACACAACATCAGAGATGCAATGCAGAATGAAACTGCCCACCCATTCAAGAGAAAGACACACATAACAAACATGGGGGAARGGATGAACAGGACTTGCGCAACATGGTCACTCTACCTTTTTCAGCTAAGCATGCTGAAATAACTATGCTTCTGAAGATTGGAATTTGGTCAAGATGGAAAATACAATTTGGCAGGTGATCCACGGACCATGTTGATAAAATAACAACGGTTATTACTAGTGGTGCCCCAATGCTGATACTGGTATGGACCCAATACAAGCCAAATTTGAAAAAGTACTCATGCTCGTTTAAAATGCCCCGATACCCAAAACGGATGCCATTTTGTTTGTGTGGAGGTTAACCTTGTAAATGCGACCTTCATTAGACACCCGTGTAAATGTTTTATGCTGCTGATGCAACCCACCTGTGCAGACGATAGCGTGATGTCACGTTCATCGCTCTGTTTAAAGAAGCAAACACATCTCTATTCATGGATGCTGCATGTCGATTCTTAAGTTGTTCTGCAATCAGAGCTGATTAAATAATTCCAGTCTGAATCTTCTCAAARTGAGTAAAATAATCTGACAATGGAATTAGACAATTGGAATTCTTGAAAAACAAATCCAGGCTAACATAACTCCTGCTTTGCATATTGGTCTCAAAACAAGATAAAAAATACTTTTTGGCTAAATATAAGAGGGAAAGACTTGGTTAGATGGGTAATTTTTGGCAGTCTATCTACTGTATTCTGTTTGTATTGCCTCTTTCCAGCTGCTCTGGTGCAGCATGTATTTAAGCCGTCCAAGAGATTACTCAAGTAATTGTAAAAAAAAAAGCATTTCGTAAAAAGACTACTTGAGTATGGAGTAACTGATCGTAACATCTGATTAAGTATTTTTTAAAAATGTCATGAAAATGACAAAAAATAGCATTAGAACAACAAAGCTTGTGTACAAACAAGAGGTCTCACTTCTACATAAACAGTGCATTTAGAATGTGCTTGTTCTTCATTCACTGGAATTACTCACAGATGGCAGAGCACTCAGAAATGATAGTAATGTTTATGTTCTAACTCAGTAAGTACTCAGTATTAGTACACTGTGTCAGTGAGAATCCAAACTCGAATACTCATACTCGTAATCAGTTGGAGAAAAATTGGTATCGAGACACACTTAGTCCAAACGGACCCGCTACCAAAGTGGATTCTCTCATTTTGTTATTTTAAAGCAACGTCAATCTTTAAAATGTCAATGAGATTCTTATAAATGTTGTTACATAATTTCCCTCTTGGATCAAGAAAGTATTTTAGAATTGAACTGAATTAAGTAAAATTTTTACAATGTATGCAAATTTGTATTACATGGTTACTTTGGTTCACATTTTTAAAAAAAATGATCACAGGAAAAGTTGTGCAACGTGACCACTGTGTATGGTTTGTAAAGTAACTTAAAAAAAGTTTGGGATTTCTAAAATCGGGCTTGCTTGCGGAGGGTCGCAATCCACTTTGACATTTTCTGCATTTGAGTAGTCAGTCAGTTCCTTGTCAGTCCTGTCAGATGATTCAATCAGTCTGACTCATTTAAAATGAGGCCATTCAAAAAGCTATACAACAGCTAAGATTTTAAATATTTAAAGCTTGTCCACAAAAAACCCACTTCAAAATGACTGAACAACGACTTTTGAAAACTGACAGATCTCCAACTTTCTTTTCTTTTTTGCCTTTGGTGAAAAGTCAGTGAAGAAGAGAGGCAACAAAGATTGAATGTCATATCTTTTATTTTGGTATTAAAGTAGGCCTGATTATTGCTGATCAAGGTCATTTAGTTAATTATAGCAGCTGWGACTATGGAGATGAAAAAAGCATAGCCGAGGACAAAGTTGAATGTTAAAACATATCTAAATCCCAACATTTATGAACTTCTGCAACACACGAGGCACTTGGCTGTTGGCAGCACATTGCCACTGTGGTGTGCTGATAAAATACAGTTTATCTATTAGCCTCCCAATTGCACACCCCACACACCAATGTCATCCAGTCCCAAGATGAGAAATTGATTTCACGCTTGGATGACAATCATAGTGAAAGATACAGAAAGAGGAAGAAAATGCTGCACAACGCKACAGAGAGCGAAATAAAGTCCTGCTACTGCAATCCCCACGAATTTGCTTACTGAGTTTAGTCTTGGAAAATAAAATAAACTATTCATAACTGAGAAGCTGATAGGCAATAACGCAAGGTTATGAAGTTCAAAATAAAAAATAAAATAAAATCATGCAACATGTTTGTATGTGAGGGGGCTTTACACATTGAACAATAAAGGCTTTAATAGAAAAAAACTGCTGGCTGGGCAGAAGCCTCTACAAGAGGGCACATTATGTGAAAGGTTGTGGCAGTACAATAGCACCCCCTCAGCCCCATGGAACAAGAAGAACTCTCTGGAAAAATCAAAGGCGAGATTTGACGGATAGGTATAATATTCTGGCAGGTTTCCGTGCTGCCATAGGTATGAAGAGGGGAAAGGGAAAAAACCAGCATGAGCGTGGTAACGTACTGTTTGGGTGATATAAACAACACCCCCATCCCCCCCTCTCCTCGTCTCTCCTGCTCGCTTTGGTGGCCCCCCTTCCCTTTCTTTTTTTTTTCCCTCTGGGGCACACAATCGAGCTGTCCGATTGGTTATTAGCACCTTAGAGATGCTGAGAATATCCACCAACCAGGGCCCAGGTGCCCCTTCACACCATTACCACAGCAACCCGTCACAACCACAGCGAGCGTGCACACATAGAGAAATGTGCACACTTATGTACACACACACACACACACACATACACATACACAAACGAGTTCATATGTGTGCGTTATTGCTGGTAGCTTGACTTTTCATGTGTGTGACAGTTACGCGAGGAGAACAAGTAATATCAATTCTCCGATGAATAGCCTTTTGTGAGTCCATGAACTGCAGAATATGACAGGAGCTGTGCCGTTCAGGTAAAACAAGGTTTTAAAGTTTCTATTTTTGTTTGACTCAGACACAGCTCTTTTTTTGTTTTATTTCTTTATTTATTAACCTTTATTTAACCAGGCAAGTCCCATTGAYAAAACATCTCTTTTGCAAGAGAGGCCTGGGCCTGAAGGCAGCGTAACATTTGAAAAAAAAAAAACTAAAAAAAAACTCTTGAATGTTGCTGCAGGCTGTACAGCTGCATGACAACTAACGTTCTTCAGTTGATTTCTGTTTCTAATTTGCACGCACACATATTCTTCATTTTTACACAATCCTTTAAGCGTGCAAAATCCAACAGTCTTTGAAAACAAAAACTGGATGAACTGTTGGTGCAGTGATTTATGTTTGAAAGCCCAACCTTGACTAGTAAATACCAGCATTTTAGCAAGTACTTGCACTCGTTCAAAATGCCACAATACATGTGACCGATATCATTGTTTTTATTTTATGCTCCTGTACAGCACTTTGGTTTTTATTGTGCTTTATAAATAAACGATGATGATGATGATGATGATGATGATATCAGTATCAATACCGCATTTCAAGTGAAGTTGGTCAGTTTCATGTTTAAGACAAGTTAAAAGAAAATCTTATTTGTTATTATTATTTTTTTAATTTAGCAACAGTATGATAATATATTATATCATGCTGTATATTTGATTTGATATTCAGAGGGGCTGTTGGCCTAAAAGGAAGGAGAGCCACTTTGTTCCAAATATATTAAAATTCATTTTGTAATGTTTAGAATTTGACCTGGTAAGTACTTGATATTGGTACTCGGTATTGGTGAGTGCCCCAAAGTCACACACTCGTATTTATATTRGTACTCGGTTTGAGAAAAACTGGAATCAGGACACCCCTACTGGTTGAAAGTTAATCTGTTATATAGCTGCGATTCTGGCAAAATAGCTCAAAACTTATACACCCAATATTAAAAATAATTGAAACTGCATGTTGCATAGTTGTTCRATGCTTGGATATAACATTCATGCATAAAATTAATCAATGCAAACTTCTGCCTACAACTGTTTGTCACACAAATAGACAAGTATTCCTGTCACAACCTGTTGTGTGGTTATGTCACTCTTGTATCTATTATAGGTCACCTGTGCCAAGATCTACAGTAGTACTCCAAAGCTAGTTATGTCAGTATCATTAAGCCTCTGTGTATAACGAAAAAAAAAAACTTCTCTAAGCTGCCAGGTCCATAACAAGCTTCCTTACCAGGAGTCACGTGTGCCCCGCAAGGCAGCTCTGATCCATTCCAATCCCCACTGTGGGCTAATAGTAGCACTCAGCATGTGAACAAACAGATAAAGTGCTTACAGTGTGTCTGTCAAAGTACGACGGTGTACCTTGAGGCTGAGGATGTGGCCATGAGAAATGCACCATCCCTGGCCTACAAATGGAATTCCTATCTTACACAAAACAACTTCAGCATTTATGGTCCTGACCTTGCAGGCGAGGGAAAACRGTAACACAACACCTATTTCTACAATTACTACAGTTGTTTTTTTTTCCTGCTCTAACACTTGCTGGGCTGTGTTCCTGTGGTTAAGATATCCATTTCTTACCAGTGCAGGTGAAGCATTTGACATGAAAGTGAGTCTCTTGGACTCGAACCACCTCCCCTTTGCATGCTTCTCGACATCGCTGGCATCGGATTGGTTCAGAGCTCCTCTCAGTGCGTGCTGAACCCTGTTGATAAGCTACAAAACACACAAAACACAAATTTTATACATTTAATCATGTTCAAATCAAAGAATATTTTAAAACACTGATTTCCATTTTTTTCATCACTGTCCTCGATTTGCATAATTCCATATTTTTTTCCCTCTAACACTGTTGATGTGAAGTCCACAATGTTGCAGTGTCTCGTTCTTACGTTACTTTGAATATTCAACATGTTACAAAAAATTGCAAGACAACTATTTGTCTGGAACACTCCTCACGTCTTTATTATTGATGGCAGCATGAATGCTCAAGTTAGCACTGTTGCCTTACAGRAAAAAGGTCCTGCGTTCACCCCTGGTTTGGCCTAAGGCTGGGTATCACATTGTGATTCCATACAATTTTTGATACAGAGCTCACAATGCAGTATGACCCTAAGCAGAGTGCAGCTCAACTTGACATTGATACATTTTACTTTATTCTAGGGGTGCAGCMATTGCCMTTTTCTGYCAAATCACCAATCTTTAAAAWGTCTGACTTGCCAATTCTGATTTTGCCTGATACAGATTTTTAAAATAGCACCTTCAAATGTTACAATCTTYTTTTACTGAAAAACATTGAACAATACCCTTGAAACAATACAAACTTCTTTTAACTAGACATTAGGTAGCTCACAGCAGAGCAAAAGAGGACAGTGGTTGATTTTTTTAGACTTTTGTGAAGGTAAATGRGAAGCCAATCTTTTCCACCGATCTTATCTAAGTGATCTCCCAAAATTAAGTAAATCGGTTGGACAACTTATTGCTCAATGTCACTGACTCAACAAAACCAGCTAAATAGGYTAAAATTATATTACATAATTATAATTATAAATACCAAAATGCGTTCAAACATCTGCTTTAAAMGAGAAAGGCAATTCTAAAATACGGCTGGCTGTTTCACTTACTCATCGATCTCACTTGCAGTTTGCTGTTCCTTGCTCTGAACAGGAATCACCCAGCGTTATACTGCCTTTTAAGGTTTGGTAAGGTGAATCAATAACAAATGAAAGAAAACTTTTAAAAAATGTCAATGTATTTAATAATATTTTGATTTTTATGCACAACCCTAGTTTGGACCTGACTTTACGTAGGTTTTCTCCAAGTACGAC